CCCACACCTTGGTGAGAGAGAGGGGACAGTGTTGCTTCCCTGCAAACACAGGCTGTGCGGGACAGCTTTGCAGGGTGCGAATGGGCACAGCTCCCATCGTGCCTGTGGTGCCACGCTTCTGCCGTGCCAGTCGTGCCCAAGGCGCTCACTCAGCTTTGTGAAGAGGTTGACCAGTTGTCCGCAGACTCCCTGCACCTGGTGGCACGACAGCATGGCCCCGTTCAGGGGGGACGGGGGACAGCATGCCCCGGTTCCTCCTCCTGAAAAGGAGGGGAGGCGGTGGCCAAGCTGCTGGGCAGAGCGGCGTACCTGGCCAGGAGCTGCCCTGCTCCCCGTGCCTTTAGCTGGCCGGGCACCAGGCACACCAAGCGCAGAGTCACAGGAGGGCTCTCCGTGTCCCTCCGTGCAGGTGGGGATGCCCTGGGACAAGGCTCGGGCAATGGGCACAGCCTGAGCACACCACGGGCAGGCTTTGTCTCCTGCTTCTGCAGGGACAGAGGGATCAGGAGCTAGTGTGTCTCTCTCTTGTAGGGACAAGGGCTGGTGACACCACCGTGTCATCCTTGATGCTGTGTGACCGCTCAGCTACCAGTATGGGAACTGCCGCTGAACGTGGGAAGCCAAATGAGATGGCATGCTTGCGGCTTATGCTGGGCTGTGCGGGTCCGTGGTGGACCTGGAACCAGATCTCCTGGCTGCTGTAGCAGAGCTTGCTCCCTCCTGATGCTTTCCAGTCTGGTCCTCTTTACGTGGGAAGCCAAATGAGATGGCATGCTTGCGGCTTATGCTGGGCTGTGCGGGTCCGTGGTGGACCTGGAACCAGATCTCCTGGCTGCTGTAGCAGAGCTTGCTCCCTCCTGATGCTTTCCAGTCTGGTCCTCTTTCTTCTTCTCCTCTTGTGCCCACATTTGCTCCCATAGCTATTGCGTGTCTGTGGGTTGCATGTCACTGAGATGGCTGGCATGTGACAGCAGTAGAGTCTTGTTCAATTCAGTGTTCCTGGAAGTGTTTTTCTCTGGAACTGGTCAACAGCTCGTTGCCCTGAGGTGCAAGTGGTATGATTTCACCATGGAAAAAACCCACTGAGTTTGGGTGTAGCCTTGCTACATTTGGTGCCTTAGACCACCGTGAATTAAGGAAGGAAATCTTTTAAAGGATAAACTGTGAAAAAGCAGCCTCTTGCTGAGGGAAACAGTAGGAGGATCCAGGAGTAGAGCAGGGAGTGAAAGACGAGAGAAGACTTGGTAGGAGAACATGTAAACGCCTTTGTCTTAAAGGTCCAGTGCAAGCGGGGCCCAGGCAAGAGCAGCCATGCCTGCAGCTGGGGGAAGGACTCTCTCATCCTCCCCAAACCAGGTGACTTTTCTTTTCTGTGTTGATGACCCACCTTTCCTCATCCTTCTCCATTCCTCCCTTGCAGTGACCAAGCTGCAGGTGAGCAAGTCGAAGCGGAGCATCACGCTGGTGGAGAACCGTCCCATCCCCCTCAACTGCTCTGTGAAATCCCAGACCAGCCCCGACTCGCACTTCGCCGTGCTGTGGTACGTCCACAAGCCCTCCGACGCCGACGGCAAGCTCATCCTGAAGACCACCCACAGCTCAGCCTTCGAGTACGGCACCTACGCAGAGGAAGAGGGGCTGCGGGGCCGGCTGCAGTTCGAGCGCTCGGCGTCGGGGGGGCTCTTCAGCCTGACGAGACGTGGCGCAAGACGGGGGCGGCTACAACTGCCATGTGGAGGAGTGGCTGCTCAGCCCCAACCACGCCTGGTACAAGCTGGCGGAGGAGGTGTCGGGGCGGACAGAGGTCACCGTCAAGCAGCCAGGTACCACGTGCCGCGCTGGTGGGGTCTGCTTGGCATCAGCTGTCATGCACGGCTTGTGAGCTCGCCGAGCTTTTCTGGGGCAACAGGGATGCTCTGCTCTTTCCGCTGCAGCCTTGTCACACCCTCCTTGCATCCTCATGCCTGCACGAAGAAGGACGTTTTCCTCTTTTGATGCGACCCTCCTCTATTTAGACTGGGTTGGCATGCATTTCAGTGTCCCCACGTGAAGGCTGTCCATCTACCACGATCTAGAGGGCCACTGTATCCAGCCAAGTTTCTTATCCTCGAGAGCATCATGTAGCAAGAGTGTCGACTAGCGACCTACTGAGAGAGAAACAGTGTGTGCCTGCCTGGGAAAGCATTTTTATGTTTTGCACACAGTTTAATTTTACTCTGTGCCTGTATCCTGGCAGGTACGGGAAGCCTTGTCTGTTTTCCCTCAGTGCTGTGCACATGAGATGTGAGTAATGAATTTAATCAGGTGGGGGGAGCTGGCTGTCAGGAAAGAAGAAATCTGCTCTGCTGGTGGTTTCCGTGGCAGCGGACATCGCTGGTAAAGATGAGCTGATGTAGTAGCTAAAGGTGGCCCCCACAAGCTAGGGACAGAGCCCTCACTTTGTGCGAAGAGGGGAGGCAGGGAGGCAAGCACCGTCTCTGAGAGCAGCCTGGACCCCATGCGTGCTGCTGAGGCAGAGCATCGGAACTTCATGAGGAAGCCTGCCTTGTCCCCACGTGCTCCCAGTGTCTGTTTCTAGAGCATAAAATCCCTTGAGCAGGAGGGACGGACCTGGATAGCAGGGCTGGACTAGGATGCTTAATGCATTTTCTCTGTCTGGATTTGGTGGGCTAGACACACGTTCCGTGGACGGGGGTGCGAGATTGGTACAGAGTATGGTCTCTGGCCAGTCTTCGCAGTGCAGCTTTGCCTGGTCACGCAGGGAGTCCAGCAGGCCAGAGCATGCCGCTCGCTGCCGATCCCAGCTCCTCGTTTGTGTCTGCAAAGTCCCGAGATGGCTGCAGGGCGGTCAGCGAGGGGGGCAGTCTGTGATCTGCCCCCTCCTTTACACTTCCCGCTTCTCTTTGGGAAGTACTGTGCCCATCGCTTGCTGCAGCGGCCGTACCGGGGAAGTCCGGGCTGTGCCCCTGGAAAGAAGTCAAGGAGGAGTTAGGAGTGTACGGCACGTCATTTCACATAAAGGAGCTGATTGCAGTCACCCCCTCGCCATGTATCAATGAACTTGTGGAGCAAAAACCAGGGACATTCCCAAGGCAGCAAAACACCGTGTGTGACTTTGCCCTCGTGCCACTTCTCGTTTTGCAGTGGTGGTTCCTTATAGTTAGCTGTCCGCTCTCTGCCTTGGTTTTTTTCCTGTTCCCACTGCAGGAGGGCTTACTGGTCGGGGTGTGATCAGGCTACTGCCCTGTCCCAGGAGGAGAATGAGAAAAGACTGAGGTGTGATCTCCCTTCACAAAGTGTCCATGCACTTAGGACCCCCCAGGTCCTACTGGGAGATTGTGGGTTTCCAGTTCCCTGTGCTGAATGGGGCATTGTTGGTGGCTGTCCTGAGATTTTCAGAAGACCCTAAAAAACACAAGTTCTGTTTTGTTTTCCTCCTCTTCCCCACGTCCATCTTTTTTTCCCTCCCCTTCCTCATTTCTTTTGTCGCACCCCAGGATTGTGGCCATGCAGGAAGGGCTTGTGGGCAGATAAAGGAGCCTTGCAGCCCTCGATCACCTTGCATTTCTATTGACCTGTTCCCGTAGATAACCGCCTGCAGGTGAACCAGACCCACAAGAACATCACAGTGCTGGAGAACCAGTGGGTGACTCTGGAGTGCCTGGTCAGCAGCCGGACCAGCCCCTCATCCCAGCTCTCGGTGGAGTGGTACGTCTGGCGGCC